GTGTTCCCATAGCATTTTGTGTCTCATGCCACCTAGGCCAGTGTCACTGGCCCTCATATGTGGGATCCGAACCGGGGCCCTCTGGCATCCCAAGCGAGTTCTTAACCATCGCGCCACTCGGCCGGCCCTAGGCCATTCTATCTTGATATTGTTTATCATTTGTCTTCTCTCCCCTACTAGGTTGTAAATTCTTTGAGGTATAAACAATGTTGTCGTTTGTATTCATCGAAATGCAAGATACACAGCATTGCTCAATGAATATTTGTTAAATGTTGAATGGGTCTTTTCATTAAAAATGTACTTGAGGGGATATCAGGCTTTCTAACTAGATAGGAGGAATGCTTTCACAATGTATATGTCTATCAAATTATTACAATGTGCACCTGAAGTGATGTGATGTAATGTACATTACAATTTTGTCAATTATACCACAATAAAACTGAAAAAAAAGTTCAGAAGGAAAATTAAGTTTCATTTTATATGAAAATGCAGCAGGTTTAATCAAGTTAAATTCCTTAACTTTTTAGGAACTCTCAAAATAGTTATCCTAAGTGTAGGTATATATTCTGAATCAAAGTGAATTAGGAGCTAGTTGTGCATAGTCTAGCGGGCTATGGTATGATTTTTTGTTTTGTTTTGTTTTTAAAGAACAACGTTGCCACCTAGGGGAGAAATAGATTTCAAACCTTTCAAACAGGGCTGTTGGGCCAGGAAGACTTAAAATTCAAAGGCAAAAAAAGATACTGGCTTATGGAGAAAAATAAGGTCGTTCTGTGGAATCCCAAATACGTATGGAAGAATTAAGGCAGGTGTGGGGACCTGTGAACGTAAAATTGAGGGATATACATAAATGAAGAAAATGATACTGTGTATATAGTCTTCATTATACAAATTAAAAAGAGGCTAATTCAACTTAGATTGTTAAAAAAGGTAGCCAAAGTATAAATTTTAAAGAAAAAATTATTTCTATGTATCTGATTAAGAGAAAAAGCATACATTGGTAGGTTGCAGTTATTATTTTTTCATAAATTGTTTTAGTCTTTCTTTTTTTGACAAAGTGATAATACCCATTTCAGCCAATTTAGCTGATTAAAAAAAGACAACCACCACAACCTCCCCCAATTACATTACCTAGAGATAACTGTTGCTAATATTTTGGTGTATTGTGTTTCCTCTTTTCTTCCTTTGCTATGTAGAAACATATTTTAAAATACCTATATGCTATTTTTACAAAAATGAGGTCATGATGTACAAATTGTTTGTTAGCCTGATTTTTTTCACTTTATATATTATGAACATTTTTTAATGCCATTACATATTTTTCTATAAAATCTTTTGACTAGATGCATGGAACTCCTTTGGGTAGATGTATCATGATTTATTAATTGGTCCCTTGTTGTTGGACATTTGGACTTTTTTCTTTTTTTAAGACTTTTTTAATTGGGGAATTGGGGGAGGGGAACAGACAAGTGGCTATCCTTTTGTTCTTCAGTCTAGTTGTGGAGGACGTTACTTCACTGGCCCAAGTTGGCACCATCATTGCACTCTTCCCGGGCGAGGCAGATCAGTCCCTGGCTTCTGGACGGCCACTCACTGCGGCTGCTGGCCGCTCATGCTGGCTGCTGGCTACACACGGTAGCCCATGGCAACCCATGGCAGCAGGGGCTGCAGCCTACGCCATTGCTGGCAACTCGACTCATGGCAGCCCAGCTCCAGGTCGAGCTGTTGTTCAGCATCTTAGCTGTAGAGGGCAGTGTCACTGGCCCTCATATGTGGGGTCCAAACTGGGGCCCTCTGTTGTCCCAAGCCAGCTCTTAACCAACGCGCCACTCGGCTGGCCCTGGACTTTTTTCTAATTTTTCACTATTATAAACTATGATGAACTTCTAAGAAGTTAAATACTCTTCTATATCTAATTAGTTTTTAGGATGACTTCTTAGAAGCAGAATTTATGGGTTAAAGAACATGAACTTTTAAGATTTTTAATATGCATTATCTAATTATCTTTCAAAAGATTGATTTATTTATAGATTTTTTTGAAGGAGTCCAATGGCATGTGAAAGATATGTCCCCTTATATACTAGGATGGTAGACATTTCCATAAACTTGTATGTTGACTCTATTTTTTTTATTTTTTATTTTATTTTTAAAGATTTTATTGGGGAATCGGGGAAGGGGAACAGACAAGTTGCTGTCGTTTTTTGTTCTTCAGTCTAGTTGTGGAGGACGTTGCTCCACTGGCCCAAGTTGGCACCTTCATTGCGCTCTTCCTGGGCAAGGCAGATCAGTCGCTGGCTTCTGGATGGCCACTCACTGCGGCTGCTAGCCGCTCACGCTGGCTGCTGGCTATACACGGTAGCCCATGGCAACCCACTGCCACAGGGGCTGCAGCCTATGCCGTCGCCGGTGACTCATGGGCAGCCCAGCTCCAGGTTGAGCTGTTGTTCAGCATCTTAGTTGTGGAGGGCAGTGTCACTGGCCCTCATATGTGGGATCCGAACTGGGGCCCTCTGGCATCCCAAGCCAGTTCTTAACCATCGCGCCACTCGGCCGGCCCCATAGGGAGATTTTTTTGTTTTAGATTAATACAAAGAAGAATTTCCTAAAAATGGGAACTATTAAAGGGCAGCGTAGTGAATTAATGAGGTTTGAATTAGTGATATTTCTGTCTTTCGACATTTTTCTCATAGAGAAGGGATTTCTATATTAAGTGAGAGATTGTATAGTCTGATTGCTAAGGTCCCTTCCAATTCTAAAATATGATTCTATGAGTCCACATGTTTAAGACGAGGATATTTAGAAAAATATGATTATGAGAACACCTTGTCTGAATGTTCTGAGAACTGTTATTCATGAAAGACCTCTTAGAGACTCAATACTGATCTTGTAAATCAGTAGAAGCTTTGGGGAAATACTGCACTCAGGCAGGGGTAGTTTTTCTGTGGGTTCAGGATTAAGAGGTAACGTATTGTATAACAGAACATGTTTCTTTATTGAGAATTCTCTAGGAATATGCCCCAATCAACCCCATTTTCTATTGACCAGTTTTTGGTTTTTTGTTATTTTAATTTTAGCTGAAGGAGAATTTAAGGAACACAGAGCGGAAACATAAGGAGACTCTTAGAAGATTGGAAGGCAGATTTTTTGAAGAAAAGGTAAGGCATATGAGGGTTGGTTAAGAAATTTTTTGTTTACTAGAACAACATAAATGTATTTATATGCATCCTGAGACATATCAACCTTCCACTTGGTATCTTATTAGAAGATTCTTATCCAATCACAACAGAAAAAAAAACAGGGAAAATGAAACCTATAGTAGATATCTCAACATCTAGTATTTTTTCCCCCTCCAGTTAGAGATTCTTAAAATTTTCAAGAGAGATTGTCATTTTGCCAAGACTTTAGGACACATATCCCTCAGATTGGTGTTCCCCAGGTGGAATTGAGACTGCATGAACCCCATTATATAGGGGAGATGGGATTGGAGCGGTCACGCTGGTACACGTGAAATCCGTTTTAATGATTATTGTTTGGATCTCATCCTAGAATATAATCTTCATGAGAACAGGGACCTGATCTGTTTTGTTGACCACAGAATCTCCAGTATCTAAAAAATCTGGTACACTATTAGTGCTCAATAGGAATTTGTTGAATGAATAAATGATGACTCTCCTCATTGCATTTATCAGAAATTTCTTCCAGTTCTGCTTTCCCATACTGATGGGGATTTTTTTTTCCTATTTATCTGTCATGTTGCTTCTTTAATGGGGAAATTGGGCAGTACCCTAAGGTTCCTATGTTCACACTATCGTCTTTGTTTGCTCCTCCATCAATACTTGGAGTATTTTACATCAGATCATGTGGACAGGAGTATTTTATTTGACATTATAAAATAAATACTTAACTTTTTGATATGCAAATTTTGTTGTTAGAAATAGAACTCTGTATTAAAACAAACTATTTTTTTTTTAGCACCGACTAGAAAAAGAGGCTGAAAAGAAGATAATAATGCTGGCCGAGAGAGCCCACCATGAAGCTGTTGTGTAAGAGACTGCTGCCTTTTTTTTCCCCAATAGCCTCTCTTGCTTCTTTGCGGGTCTCTTGTTCTTATCTTTTTTCCTTCCCACTTGTGTCCTGGTTTGCTTTCTTCAAATTTTCTGGCTTACATTCCCTTATGTTTCTAGAAAGAGAGCTTTGTGTCCCTGCCCCTTTTTCCTCCACCCTTTCTGTAGCAGCATGGTGTGAAACTAAGAACTGAGGCTTTGAAGTTAGATTGGTTCTCAAGGTATATACCAACTGACTGTAAGGAAGATATCTTAACTTTTTGGAAATTAAATTTCTTTATCTAAAAATGGGGTTAATAATAGCAACCTCGCAGGGTTGTCATTATCATTCATGTTGGGGGATAAAGCAATCTTTGTTCTAGTTTGGTAATATCTGAAACTTAGGCCTATTTTGAGATCTTATATTTGTCTATTTCAGGCAGTTGAACAACGCTGGAAGAGCTGTTTTTAAAGAGAATGTTTATCTCCAGAAAGCTCTCGCGTACCACCTGAAGGAAGCTGATGCTCTACAGAAAAACTCCAAGAAGCTGCAAGAGACGCAGACTTTACTTTTACATCAAAAGGTTCCCATTCTCATTTAGACTTTGTTTCCTATTTTTAAGGATTGGGTTACATAAATACTAAGCATTGGGTATAATAAAGATACACAAGGACAATGGGACCATATTTCTTCTGTCTGGATGATGTACTTTTCTTATCTGAAAAGATTAGTTACTGAATTAGTTACAAGAAGCATTAGACTTGGCCTTATAAAGAATATGTCAGAAATACAAATATAACTCCTATCATGTACTGTCTGAGAATATTCATTTTGCTTTGCTTAGAGTTGGTCCCTGAAACACTTAGGAATAGGTTCAGCTGTGAGTAACAGCCCTGACAACAATGGCATCACCACATAGAGTTTATTCTCTCACTTAAAGGAAGTCTGGAGGTAAGCAATCCAGAGCTTCAATGGTGGTGCCACCAAATCAGCAAAGACTTGGGTTCCTTAACTCTGCTCTGCAGCATGTGGCTGATACCCTCAAAGTCACCTCATGGCCCACGGCACTGCTAGAGCTCTAACCATTACTCAAACAGCAGGAAGGGAGAAGGACAAGAAGGAAAAATGTATGCCCCTCCCTTTAACGGTCTTCCTGGAAGTCCTACACACGTTTCTACTTACATCTCATTGACCAGAACTTACATGGCTATGCTGAACCACAAGGGAGACTGGGACTTTTCAACTGGGCTTACTGCCTTCCTGAATAAAACCGGGGTTTTATTACTAAGGAGAAAGGGGAAAATGGACATTGGGATAGGCAACTAGTAGACTGCCAGAGTTTTCAGTATAGCACTGTTAATATTTTACTGTATAGTCTCATCAATTTTGGAATTGCCCTTTTGATAATACAAAATATTTAAGCTTTCAGAATTTTGGAGGAAGCAAAGTTTCTTAATTAGCAAATTCAGTGATCTTCACAAGTCCAGACAAGGACCCTAGGATGTGTTTTTTTACTCTCTATATGCAGAATACCAAAATATCACCATCTCAACCTGGCATCAAACTCAAATCTCATGAAGTACTAGAAATTAATGAGGAACTTTTAAGTTCTGAAATTGATTAAAGAGAAAAAAATCCCTCACCTCTCTCATCTCTTCGTTTCTAGGAGATCAATGATCTGTTGGTTAAGGAGAAGATCATGCAGCTTACCCAGCAGAGATCACAAATCCAAACTCTTCAGAAGAAAGTGGTAAGCTTGGAGACTGCCCTGAGTTGTATGACCAGAGAGTTTGAGACTGAAGTTTTAAAACTGCAGCAACAGGCAATGGTAGATAACCCAAGTCAGGTTGAAATTTACAAGCTGCAGCACCTTCTTCAGATGAAGGACAGGGAAATGAATCGTGTGAAGAAGCTGGCCAAGAATATACTGGACGAGAGAACAGAAGTGGAAAGTTTCTTTTTAGATGCTCTACACCAAGTGAAGCAACAGATCCTGTTTAGCAGGAAGCATTATAAGAAGGTAGCACAAGCTGCTTTCAATCTTAAAATGCGAGAGGCATATGCAGGAAGAACAGAATATCCCAAAATTCGAACATTTGATGGCAGAGAACACAGCACCAATACTGTGAATCAGGATCTTGTGGAGGCCGAGAAATGGTACTAATAATGCTTTAACATTTTATCTTTTGTGCTTTTTTGGCGCCTTTTAGAGAAATAAGAGCCCTGAAAAGTTCAGTTTGCTAATATCTAAGTATTGAGTACATTACTCAGTAAGTTACTTGAGGACAGGAACTGACTTACTCATTTTTGTAACCCATATGCTTAGTATAGTTTGTGGGGGCCTAAGAGGTATTCTTAATTGATGCCCCCCTTTTCTTCATAATAGAGACTTATTAAAGAGACTAGATTATTTGTTCCATAGAGTGTCATTGTAGTATCTTTTTTTGTTTGTTTCCTTCAAGCCATTTTTATGAATATAAACATAAATGTACAGTACATACTTCTTGGGATATTAAACATATTTTTGGATAATTACTTTATTCAGTTAGTTATATGTCATGGACATCTTTTCGAGACTGTTGGACATTTAAGTTATGGTTTTTCTCATTAAAAAATGCTACAATGAACATCCTTGTATACAAAAAAGCACAATTTCATACTCTGTGTACATTAACCTCCACAGAGAATATACAAAATTCTACACTGAGAAAAAAGATAAATGTCATACCAGACAACAGTTTTATCTTTTTTATTGAGTTCTGTATTTATGGACTGTGTTGGATCATCAGCAAGCCTATTAGCTATTCTAGAATCATAATAGTGAATAGTTATTTATTTTTTTGCTCTCTATTCCAATCTACACAATAAAATTAAAATTACAATATACTCTTTTTACTCAAGAAAACTTCACTCCTGGATCATTTTTTGTTTTCTATTCTGTTTCAACATGTGAAAAATCATTTGTGCTTCAGAACTAAAATTTGAGGTAAAAATATTTCGCATCAATGACTTCTGTAATTTCCAAAGTACTTTCATTACCTGATTTCCCCTTTGTACTATCTGTGGTGGTTTAATTTTCTATTCTCTCAGTATTCAGTTTAAAGGGCAGTCATAGTTTATTTTTACTAACTGAGGGAAACAGAGCTGTATAATCCAAAATAGTGAAAAATTTTTTTAACTATTTAGCTTTGAAAGATGGTTTTGTAACTTTACTCGAATAGGGGTGTGTCTGACATTTAGGAAATTTCCTTTAAGAAAAATGATGAGATGAGCTAGGAATAGGTCCTGTTTCCACATCCAGAAACTTGTTGAGCTCTTCCCTAAAGATTCAATCCATTCTAGAGACTGAGGCAAGGTCTGCTCGGGTAAGTGTTCTGGTGTAGTATCTTTTAACATGTTCCTTTATTTTGTTTCCTGTAAACTAGTTATAAAGGTTTGATTATATTCAGGTTAAACATTTTTGATAAACATACTTTCATAAATATTTTGTAATGTTCCCTTTACTATTCTGAGATGAAATTCACAGGTAATAATGTCTAACTAAACATATTATTTGAAAAATCAATATAATAATTCTTCATAACAATTCTTTGTTGTACAGTAAACTGTCCCATGGGTTGGAGGACACACAATAGTGCCCCCCCATCATTGTATTAACCAAAAGTTCCCACAAGTTTCCAAAATACACTTAGAGATCTACTGCTACTATGATAAAGGTAGCAGGATGCTTAAGACAGTTGTAGACTATATACAATGATTAATCATTTCCTGTTAGCATTTTTATCTGGTAGGGCACTCCTCCCCCCTATAAGCCATGGATTAAATTATTGTGCATTTAAAAAAGTATTCTTAAAATTATGTTTCCTATCTCCATGCTATTAGATTCTCTAAAGGCTTTAACTCAAGAAACTTAAAAGGACTCCCTACTGCTGTGTCCTTAACATTTTATTAGGAGTGCTTCCAAATGTGTTTTCTGCTTCAAGTTATTTTTTAATGGACTAATTTGTAGGTTCTTTTAAATTACATGGCTGCTGGGACGGTTGGACATGGTTAGTGGCTTCTGAAAGATAAGACTTTGCTTCAAAAATATCCATACTACGTATCATTATTTTTACCTTCTTGCCGTATTCAGAAGTCTGTAATAACACTTCTCTTACCAAGAGATTCATGTAATTTCTTCTTATTTATTTAATAAGTCAAGCAAGTTGAGTCCCTATCAAACATAATGCTTTTTTTCCACATTTTTTGTCTATTGTATATTAAGTGGTATATAAGTTTTCAGAGGAAGGTACGTAAAAAGATTCTCCATATCGTTACTGTAGAAACTGGACTCTTCCTATTCGGCCTTCTGTGTGACATTTTTGCACCTGAGGAACTTGTCACCTTAACCCCAGTTTCCTATTGCTTCTATCAGCAGGACAGGAATGGTGGTTAACATATTATATCATCTGCTTAAGAGGCAGGTTGGAGAAGGACAGTTGAAGTATATGGTGATCATAAGGCAAAACCTAAACTTTTATAGAAAACTAACCCAAGTGCCCCGTATGCAAAAAATTCCTCACATTACACAACATCAGTACTCTCTCTTACATGTCACCCAGCTTTTGTAAATAGCAAGTAGACTGAATCTGCTGAGAAAGTTACAGCATAGATAAAGACCTGGTGGAAAGCTTAGCTACAGCCTGATTTAGAGGTAAGAAAATAGACTAGATAAGTTACATGTTTATTACTCTATCTTCATAGCAAAATATCTAATATAAAAAGAAATTAAGAATCTTAGTAAACAACTGTTTTTTTTCTTGTTCCTTTTCTCTTTATGTGTATCTGGGTACAATATGTCATATTACAACTTTCGATTTTGTTTTTTGCTTGATGTTTGAGCATACATCTTTTTCATGTTATAGTTTTTCTTATTTTTAATTTTAATTACTACATAACATTTTGGATTGGCTAGCATATTGGTATTTTTTTCAACTTTATGATTTTGTAATAGACACAGTTTGCTTTGTAGTCATTACATTTGGAGACCTATGACATTCAGTTATAGTTGGAAATTTTCTTTTCTCATGTTCACATATTTTATATTTTTTAAAAAGAAGAGATGCTTACTATGACCACATTTTTCCTTATCACTTTTTTTCTTTGAAATTCTTTAGGACAGATATTCAAGGAAATGTGGATATTGGAGATTTGACCTGGGAGCAGAAGGAGAAAGTCTTACGATTGCTCTTTGCAAAAATGAATGGTTTTGTTCCTAGGTAACTCCCTTTTTCTGTAGTGGAATACCAACTTATCAACCCAGAAACCATATAGGAACAATGAACTTATTCTCACTTAGAATTAAAGGAATAGGAAAAGACTATAAAGTATAAAAGGGTTATACTTCTTAGCTAAAGGTAAAGAATGGAAAAATGAAAGATGAACTAGAATTAAAGGGGGAGAAAAGAGATTAATTTTAGATATTTAATGCTAAGAAGGTACATCGCTCAGCTGAATGAGTGGTAACTGAAGAGAAGCATAACAATTGTTAAGATTTTATTGGCCTGCAAAGATAAGTAAATGATTTTTAAGCTGATTATTAATCAAGAGAGTCTCTAATACCAAGAAAAAGACTTAGAAAGGAAAAATCCACAGATATTCCAAATAATTCTTTGTCTTTTTTTAAAAAGATTTTACTGGGAAGGGCCGGCCGAGTGGCTCCGTTAGTTAAGAGCTCGCTCAAGAGTTTGAGCTCTGAGCAACAGCGGTTCGAGTCCCGGCCCAAGCTGAGCAGCCGCTGAGCTGCCAACAGGTAGCAGGATGGCTCAGCTGAAAAAAAAAAAGATTTTACTGGGGAATCGGGGAGAACAGCGTTGGGGAATCGGGGAAGGGGAACAGACAAGTTGCTGTCCTTTTGTTCTTCAGTCTAGTTGTGGAGGACGTCGCTTCACTGACCCATGTTGGCATTTTGAGCATTGAGCTCTTCCCAGGTGAGGCAGCCGGTCACCGGACGGCTGCTCACGCAGCTCATGCCGGCTGCCGGCCGCTCACGCTGGCTGCTGGCCACTCACGGTAGCTTATGGCAGCCTACTGCAGCCCACTGCAGCCTATGTCGTTGCCGGCAACTCACGGCAGCCCAGCTCCAGGTCGAGCTGTTGTTCACCATCTTAGCTGTAGAGGACGCAGCGTCACTGGCCCATGTGGGATCCAAACTGGGGCTCTGCTGCTCAGAGCTGGTGCTCCCAAGCCAACTCTTAACCAACACGCCACTCAGCTGGCCCCAAATAATTCTTTTTAATGATTACTTTTCACTCTCTCTACTGTTTTATCGGTAACTATACCCCCTGGTAATGACCTATAAAGTGGGTAAAATAAATCAGTCACTTACTGATTGCTTGTTACATGCGTGGCATTTACTATGGGGATTCAAAAGAATTGAGACATTGCCCTTGATCTCTACAACTAGCTCACAATCTAGTTGCCCAAGCAAAACCAAACATAACAAGGGGGAAATTAGGTGGCACAATAAAGTATAATTGGAGTTCAGACAATATGTCAGCGGGCTAGAGTAGTCAGGGAAGACTTCACTCAGGAAGACTGAAAGAGTATGACTCTGTGGGGTACCATGTAGGATAGTGGGATGGTGGGTGGGGGAGGGCACATCAGGTGAGGGGCGTAGTAGACAGCATAAGCAAAAACCCAGAATTAGGAATTGGTATTGGGTGTTTAGGGAACATGGAGGAAAAACTGCCTAGCTTGAGGAAATTCAGTAATGCTAGAGAGTAATTATTAATTAGATATAAGGGTTAATCTGTAGGTTAAATTATGGTGAGCCTTGAAAACCATGCAGAAAAGCCCGAACTTATGCTATTGTAGATTCTAAAGTAGTGTAACACACTTTTATTCTCTGCCTTGAAGGAATACAAAGAGCAATAATAAGCGATACTCTCATATTCTCTCACTGGAAAGAGCTCATAGGTCATTGTTCTCAGAGCTAACCTGAACCTAACAGTGACAATTATGATGGATTGGAGGACAAAACTAGAAGTGGGGACCAGCAGAAGCTGCTGTACTACTCTGGGCATGCAGCGGTGAGGGGTTTAGGCAAGAGTGGAGCAGTCAGAAAAAAGGGGAGAAACTAAGAGACACTTAGGAAGGAGAAACAGGACTTGTTGATAAAAGACAAAAGGAATAAAGAAAACAAAGTGTAAATGTTTGAGTTTTTTAGTTTAAGAAACGAAGAATGGTGGTATGAAAGGCAAATGAAAAATCTGGAAAGCCAGTGTAAGGGAAATGTTTAAATGTAATCCATCCATCAACTCATTAACATATACATATTGAGTACTTGCTATTTACTGAGGCTATAGTGTTGAGCAAATAAAGACATCATGCTTAATATCAAGGAGTTCATGGTCTACATGGGAAGAAAAACATTATTCAAATCATTACACAAATAAATACAACAGTACAACTATGACATAAACTCAAAAGAGTGGTATGAGAGCCTAGATTAGGGGAGTCTGACCTAATTGAGGAGGTCAGGAACATTTCTGAGGAACTAAAAGGTTGAGCTGACCTCTAAAAGGCCGACAGGAACAAAAGGGAGGAAAAACATTCCAGCAGAAGAAATAGAAAGTATTTTCAGTGTCAAATTGGAGACGATGGTAATATATTGAAATGAAAAATACTTAAGGCATTGTAAATAGTGATTGGAGTACAGATGATAGTTTCGGAAGAGAGATTTGAGCATGTTTAGTGAAAATTGGTAGTTGAGTACGGGAGAGTAGAAGAAGGTAGAAGAGTAAAGGGCTGAGGCTAGAACCTTTAGGAATAAACGGAAATAATTAACAAGAGAACAAAGAGTACAATCAAGAGAGAGGCATTTTAAGAAGTATGGGCTACATGGAAGATGGAGGACTTTGAAATGACTTTTGTGTCTCTGGTAGCTTTCCAAAGAGGTGGCAGTAGGACCCAGCCTGTAGATACTGAATGTCTGTCTCATTGTGAGTTGACCTTTCTGTACCCCATGGAATACAGCCAGAGTTCCAGACCTCAAGTTCCATAATGTGTTGTTTTCAGCACTGGAGAAAGGAAGAAATTTGAGTGACATCTTTCACACCAAAGCAAGGATCTTGAACCTGGCCACAATGGAACCATATCTAAGCCTGTTGGAATTTCATGCTAGGGTTGGACGAAGGAAAAAGAAGATAGGAATAGAATGGTGAAATGTTGAGATGAAGATGAATTTAACGAGAAAGCTCAAACTGGGGAGGAATTAAATGATGAAAGGTCTACCATGGCAAGTAATTAGGAAGTTGGTAAGAGTTCACAATAGATTGTATATGAGTATGAATCCAACAGTGCAATATTTTTCTTTGTGATTGAACTAAGTCAAAGGAGTATAACCCATAAACTGTACTCTTTAGTGCATTAGCAACAACTGTGGCTATAATGCAGGCACTACTAGTAGTAGCTGAATTATGCTATTAGACTATTTAATATAGCCAGATTTTGAATGAGTTTATGCTGGTTTCATGTGCACCTAGTTTTAGGAGTGAGATATGTGTCTATCTGCTGGCATATCAACCTACTATACATTTTTTTTTAGATTTTTTTTATATTGGGGAATTAGGGGGATGGGAACAGCGCTGGGGAATTGGAGGAAGGGGAACAGACAAGTTGCTGTCTTTTTGTTCTAGCTGTGGCAGACGTTGCTTCACTGGCCCAAGTTGGGCACCATCATTGCGCTCTTCCCGGGCGAGGCAGATCAGTCGCCGGCCTCTGGACGGCCACTCACAGCGGCTGCCGGCTGCTTCTGCTGGCTGCTTCCGCTGGCTGCTGGCTCCTCAGGGTAGCCCATGGCAACCCACTGCAGCAGGGGTTGCAGCCCACGCCATCGCCGGCATCCCAGCTCAGGTTCCAGCTCAGGTTGAGCCGTTGTTCAGCATCTTAGCTGTAGAGGGCAGTGTCACTCGCCCTCATATGTGGGATCCAAACCAGGGGCCTCTGGCATCCCAAGCCAGCTCTTAACCATCGCGCCACTCGGCCGGCACAGCCTGCTCTACTTTTTATAACTGTTAAGCTCACTTTCAAATTACAATATTAAATTAGTGATATATTTGTTTCCTGTTCTTAATCCAGACTTTCTAAAGTATGGGAGAAATTTTCATACTCTGTCTATCTCCGTTGGGTAACTTTTCTGTGTTCTGTGGTTCTTTTTGTGGGAAGGGAATTTTTCTGGCCGTGTTTTAGGCAGTACTGTGGTTCAAACTTGCCCATCACCATTAATAGCTGTTGTGCGCGTTTCATCATGATGATCATTTCCATAAATATTTCCATTTCTTAAGTTCAATATGTCTCAACTTTAAGAGAATGTAAGTTTATATTAACTTGCCTCACATTATACTGGGTGGGTGTAAAAGCTCATTTTTTAAAATGAGAAGCCCACCCAATATTCATTTAGCACTTTTAAAGTGTAGTTGAAGTACAGGGCACAGGGAGACACTGCCTCATTGTTAATTTTTTCCACCACAGAAAATATAGCCAGAGTTCTTGGCCTCCAGTTCCAGACTATGTTGTTCCAGACAACGGAGAAACAAAGGAATTTGGGTAAGGTCTCTCTTGACAAAGCAAGGAACACGAGCCTGATCACAGTGTTTCTTTTTCTTTCTTTTTTTTTTAAAAGATTTTTTATTGGGGAATTGGGGGGATGGGAACAGCGCTGGGGAATTAGGGGAAGGGGAACAGACAAGTTGCTGTTGTTTTGTTCTTCAGTCTTGTTGTGGAGGACGTTGCTTCACTGGCCCAAGTTGGCACCATCATTGTGCTCTTCCCAGGAGAGGCAGATCAGTCGCCAGCACTGCGGCTGCTGGCTACACACGGTAGCCCATGGCAACCCACTGCCACAGGGGCTGCAGCCTATGCTGTCAGCAGCAACTCAAGGCAGCCCAGCTCCAGGTTGAGCTGTTGTTCAGCATCTTAGCTGTGGAGGGCAGTGTCACTGGCCCTCATATGTGGGATCCGACCGGGGCCCTCTGGTGTCCCAAGTCAGTTCTTAACCATTGTGCCACTCAGCCGGCCCCACAGTGTTTCTGGTGGACATTTTATATGTGCTAGAATTGAGTGAGAGTAACATGACATGTCTATTATTCTAAACCAGGTTCCATGTGTGTATGGTATTTATAGGTCTGTTACTTTGTCATTATTGCAGGGATGAAAGTAAGCTTCAAGAGCAAACCTTCATCACCCAACAAGTACCGATCTCAGACGCTTCTGGTGAACTGATGGTATCCAATATTCAGAAAGGATCACAAGAGTCTGACAAGGTAAGGAGTCTGTAATCTCACCAAACAATTCACATAACTGCCACCATTACCTATTCAGCTTCTTGATAAGTCACAGTTCTATAGCTCTATTACCCAAGAGCTCTCAGGGATCGGTGAAATGAGTAATACTACTATTGTGAGCTCAGTGTACATTTTTATCACAATATCCACACTAAGGAAAGCATATAATTAACACAAATACGTATTTGTGCCTCTTTTAGTGTGGAAAGCCTATAAATTGCCTTTTGCAATGCACAGCCTAGCCAAAATATGTACTATCTTTTATGTAAGAATAAGTATAATGACCATGTAACTCTTAGCTTTGGACAGAGGCAGGAAGTCTGAGTCACTACAAGCTATGGGACACAGGCATCATAAGGAAGCATGGCCAGGTTTTCTCTTTAAGAGCTTTTTATTTGTAACGTGTTATTCACAATCAGTACAGTGTAGAATCAGAGAAATTTCAAATGAGGCCACATCAGAGCAAAAAAAACCCCCAAAACTGAATTTTTTAGCTGCTATTAGCATAAACAGAATTACAGATTTTTTTTTCCATATAAGAAATAAGAAACTTCTAAGTAGCAAGTAGTTAGCCAAATGAGTTGATTCCAAGCAGAGAAACACAATTCTGATTAGCATTTTTAAAACATGATTTCCCTTAAATGTAAGGAAAATTTAGGAATCTCTGTGATCATATTTAATTCCACTTGGAATTTAGACAATACGACCTTTTATTCAACCCAGCCTGTCGTTGTTGTTGGGTTGAATTAAATATCACTATCAGTTGCAAGCTGTGATAAGAGATAAAACGGGGAATTCTATAAATTTCTATTGCCTCACCTTTAGGAAGGCAAATCTAAAAAAAGAAAAACAGGAAGACCCAGTAGGATCATAAATGTATTTTACTCGAGTTCCAGTCACCTTAAGTGATTGAAGATTTTGACATTGTATCTAGTTCGTGGTAGTAATAAGCCTAAAATCCATAGAATGCACAAACATTTGCAAGGATTTCACTGTCCTTAATTCACTGAATAACCTCCATGGAGTACGTTAGCATTATCCATGTGACTAACAGGGAAGAGGAAAAATAAATGACCTTCGTTATCTGGCTGAGGACCAGAGATTCCTCTATCAGAGCCAGAAGCCTTCTCCTAGTTCACTGCATGAAAACCACATCAGAAAGACAGGATTCAGTTGGGATATAAAGCAAAAAGATGAAAGCTATTTTGTTTAGCACATTGAATTCAGAAACAAAAAGCATAACCAGGGTTGAATTAATGGTAGCAAAAGAATCTATCAAAGCGTTTCTTTTTTACTACTTTATGTCATGAAACTTTAAGATTTCTTAGGCCCCAGTCAGTTTACTCTATATTGAGTTCTTTTATTAAAAAGTATCACTAATGAGAAATGCAGGCAAGAGGAAAGAACGACAGAAAAAATTTGACAAGGACTATCAGGTTAGACTTGCTTAACAAGAATCTTGCCCACTTTCATGGCTGGAACAGCCCTTGATTTCTGGGCCTAAAATAACTTTTGAAATGGTTTTCTAAAGGAAAAAACAAAACAAAACAAAAAACTATTGGCATCTGAATTAATGACTAACGCATTAGTTAATGATTGTTGAGGCAAACCTTCACATTTTTTTTTTAAACCTTGAAATTTAACATTTGGCACACACTAGAAAAAGTTCATTTATCTAATGCATACTGAGGTATCCTTGAGAAGTGATTTTAAGAAGCAGGAGCAGTGACAATGATACAATTTAGTGGTCATGATTCATTAGGAGAAAGTGGCATTCAACAAAAAGAAGCAGTTGTCACAACTGTGGGATAAGTAGAAACGGACTATATCTTTTGTAGTGTGAGATAAATGAGAGGCTCTGGGCAGCCTGGCAGAGGGATCTCCCCCACTGGCATTTATGTGGGGCTGTGTTTGAGGATCAACCAAAGGGTGAATTATATCTGTCCTATTTCCCCATCCAAGAGTTCCTCTTCCAATTATGGGTGATCTTCTTTACATAATCTTCCCTTCCTTCAAGACATCAGAAAAGGGGAGAATTTTTAGAAAACAGGTCTAAGCTCTCATTCCAGATAAACATTTCACAGTTCACAGCAGTTACCTCAAAAACAGAAGTATGAAGAGTAAGTGAAAATCTGGTTTCAGAGTTACACTAGGAATCTCCCTATAACAACTTTGCAGGGGCTAATCGTTCTGAGAAAAATTTTAGTTACATGTTATTCCATTCTCAGGGATCTGGTCTGAGCAAAGTTGGAAAATGAAGTTGGTCAAGAATAAAGGGAGATTACTCAGGATGGACTGAGTCTGGAACAAACTTATTTCTAACGGCCCATGGTTGGCATGACTACAGCAGGCGAGGAAAGAGTAGCATCTTCTTCTTTCCACTGAGAAGTGATGGTTTTTAGCTGAGTGTAGAATTGGATGCCCTAAAGAGAACAAAGGGGGGAAAAAAGGGAGAGAGACAGAGTTAGCATGTCTGTCTTGGAGGTTTGGAGATTCTTGTTTTTAATCAGCTTTTGAAGAAATTGCTGTAAGTGCTACTCAGGCTCTACTTAAGGAACTTAAGTGCAACTAAAATCAATATATTCATGTAAATTTATCTAAAACATTTAGCATAATACCTGGCACATAGTAAACAGTCAAACCTTAGCTCTTATTATGCTGAAACTAGCCAAGATCATTAGCAGCTAAAAGGAAAAACTGAACAATGCAATCTGTTAAACTTGCAGGTCATTCTGTTCCTAGAGATGAATATCATGTACTCTAAGGTCTTGAGACATGGCTCAAATCCTGCCTCTGCTCCTTATTGACTGCTGTTTAACCTTGGGCCTTATCTTTGACATAAAGCCCACCTCATAAGAATGTGAGGGGAAAATGAAATGGCATACAAACATCCCAGCAAAGTAACTGCTGTTCAATTATTGTTAGTTTTTCTCTCTTTCCCATGAAGAAGAAAAAGGAATGAAGTAATGAAATATACATTAGGCCATTTCTGACAATTGTCAGTGATAAACAGCTGAAGTAGTAAAAATACTGAAGTAGTAAAATCCAAAATATCTTACAAATCTAAAGTAAAATGTCCGATGTTATACACATTCACTTCTAAATCACCTATAACATCTCAGCCAAAAAAAATTCAGCATACTTGCTTTATATTTACATAGTTTATTTCGCAAGAACAGGCTTGAGCAAAAGAGAATAGATTGTAAAGATTTAACACTTATCAAAGTACTAGCAAGTTAGAAAGATATTGTTAGGAAAAAACATACTAGTTTGCTTAAAGCACTCTTCTAGAATTATTTGACAAAATTTGGGCCATAGTAATACATTGGAAAAAAATTTAGAGATTATTACATATTTTTAATATAAGATACAACTAAGGTTTATATTTTATTATGTAAGAATGATACTTTCATGTCTTCTTTCCAGAATGCAAAAGTAGCAATTTAGTTACCTAAGGATTTAAGACTGAATGTATGAGGTCAGGCTTTTCCTCCAATAAGCCTCACTTACCAGAGTAACTTATAAAGAAATTTTTGTTAATAGTATCAAACTAGTTAATTTTGCAAAAGCTGTGATTAATGCAAACTGTATAATCAGCCTCCACATAACCAGTTTTTTCTTAACCAATTAGTCAGTCACATTGTCATATTCTGCTGTGCAATTCCAATGCTAATTTTTTATTTATCTATAAAAGGTAGACCTGTATAGAAAAAATATAATTTATTACTGAAGGTTCCAAAATGGTTGTATTTCTGTGGGACAACAAAGAACTTCCAGCAGCCCATTTTTGCAACACACATCTGGCCAGGTGCTGCAGATAAATAATAATTACAGTGTGATGAGGGCTTCTTAACATGGCTTAGAGTCCTGCATGACTTGCCCCTGCCTACTTCTCTAGCCTCATCTCTTACCACTTTCTTACTCATCCACTCACTGTGCTCCAGCCCATTTCTGCTGTTTGAACATGCCATGCCCGTTCCTGCCTTAGGATACATGCACCTGCTGAAGGATGTGGCAACAGTGGTAATTTAATCCTCATAACCTTATGACATATAGGTACTGTTGTTATTCTCATTTTACAGATGAAGAAACCTGAGGCACAGAGAGGGTATCCTCCAATATCACACAGTTAATAACTGGCTGAGCTGGGGTTTGAACCCACACAATTTGGTTCCGGATATGCTTTATTTTTCCTGTTCAGTGCTGTATCTATAGTGCCTAGAATAATAGTGTTTGGTACAAAGAAGATGCTCAATAAAATTTTTTGTAAATAAATAATGATTACAGGAGATGTATGTGCAGTGGGGAGCACATGGGCACACCCAACCCAGCATGAGGAAGGGGCGGCTAGTGGTCAGAGGTGATTTTCTGGAGGAGTCCATCCTTTATACTGAGACATGACAGGTGATGAAGAGTTAGTCAAATGAAAAAGGGGGGAGGCAGAAAGAGGGTTCCAGGCAGAAGAAGAGACATATACACAGGCTTGGACTTCCTCATGCTCTTTCCCCAAAACTTTGTTGCTTTGAGTTATTCGGCAAGAAGTAGCTTTGGCAAAATTTTGTTAACTTTTAAATCTTTTCTAGGGGACCTACTGATAAGCACTGCTGAGCAACATATGACCCCACAGAAGCAACTGCCTGGCCTTTCCTTGTAGAATCCTTGTTCCTGAATATGTTCAAGAAAATTTCTTAGAGGAAAATAATGTTTTTTAAAACTTTAAAGTTACCTGTTTGCCATAGAAGTTGGTGTCTCCCCTGAAGGAAGATCGGGAGCCCGTGAATGAGAACATCGGCAAAGGCACTGGAATGGGGACATTCACACCCACCTGAAGCAGAACAAATGCACATCACATACCAAGGAAAGGACTCAAACAAAGGAGCTCTCCATGTAGAAGCTCAAGTGCTTGGCACCAGAGGGACCAATTTTAAATACCCACCTTCTACCCCATCTCCATCCCATGAACTTTTATTCCTTAGGAAGAAATGAGGCATTGTGAGAGATCAGAGGGGAAGCGACTGACCACTCTTTACCATCTCCCTTTAGATGGGAAACAGTAAATGGCTACAAGAAGCTCCTAAAAATCTGTTCACAAACCTGTCCAACATCCACCAAGTGGGAATATTTCCGAGCAGTGGCTCCATTGGTGGTGAAGATGGCAGTTCCATTTCCATATGGGTTGTCATTTACAATCTTGATGGCTTCATCCAAAGTGTCTGTCTCCAGAACTACCAGAACTGGACCAAAAATCTCCTCTTTGTAACAGGTCATATTTGGCTGCCAGGAGTGACGCATCCAGAAAAGAAGTCAGTATTTAATGCTTATTTGGCACCTTATTACCCACTGTTTATATGGACAGCTTTCATGTTAGTAATCTCTTTTCATTTTAAATCCTTTCTTGCTGTGTTCCATCTTGCAAGGTACCAATCACATAAACAGCTTGAAGTTCCTAGTAAGTACTACTACAGTCCTTTCCTTTAAGCACTGTATTTTTAGGTCCCGTGACCCATCACTAGCTTCCTGTTTTATACTTGTATAACTTGTTTATACAATTGTTATGTTACTGAAAAGTTACATGAAAATTCATATTTTATAAATAAAATATATATTAGAAACATCACAGGAGAATTTTTCTGTTTAAAGAAACCCGTGCTAAGTTTTCTGTAACATAAACAATCCATTCTCATTCACTCCTTTGCCTCTCAAATGAGTCTGTACATTTATATTTTGATATCAGGTCACATTAAACATTCAAAACATTCTTCACCACTGCAGCTAGGTAGCTGTGTTTATTGCTGATAAGTGGATTTTTCCTCTATGGTTCTGCGGCAAGAGATTTCATAATTTCTACTACACTTAACATTCAACTCAATTATTCAGGATTATAGTAGGATTAGTGGGGACATATGTATTTCAAATAAAACCCTCCTAAACTCAGTCATTAATTTTAACTGAGAGACTTGCAGAATTTTGATAAATAAAAATTGACAGATCAACTCTTTTTCTTTCGTCACTTTCTGGTGAAGATGCAGCTAAATTTAAGGCACAAAGTAGGTACTCAATAAATACTGGGTAACTGATATGTCGATGGAGAGAGACACTGCAGTAACTTATTGGGTTGTCGGAAAAGTCATGATGTATTTTTTCTGTTTTTCATTGCAAAAATGCATCATGACTTTTCCGACAACCCAGTATAAGCTAAGCAGCAAGAAGGAGCAGGAAGACAAAATAAACATTAAACACATAAGTAAGAAGTATAATATAAGATAGGGGTTGGCAAAATATGGCCAGTGGGCCAAATGTGGTTCACTGCTTGTTTTTCAACAGCCAACAAGCTAAGAATGATTTCTGTATTTTTTAAATGGCTGAAAAAAATATCAATCATGACATGTAAAATTATTTGAAATTAAAATTCCATTGTCCATAAATAAAGTTTTATTGGAACACAGCCATACAATGTTAATGGCTACTTTCACACTAAAATGTCAAGAGTTGAGTAGTTGCAATAGAGACTATATAGCCTGCAAAGCCAAAAGTATTTATTACCTAGTTCTATATGGAAAGTTTGCCGACTGCTGGTAGAGTGGAAAGAGATTGGGAGTAAGAGGGGAGACTTGTTCAGACTCTAGATAAAATAACTGAGTAATCCTGAAGAGATAAGGTTTTTAGTCATTAAATGTCTTCATTTACAAACTGGAGGGATGAGATTCCATCGCCTCCACAGAGCCTTCAGCTTCCAAATTTGTGAAATAAATAATCCAGAGTTGCTCACCTTGACATTTGAGATGATGGTTGGTCCAACAAAGTTGCCATTTTCATAGCCTTTGACTTTAATTTTTCGACCATCAAGAAGGATAGAGGCCCCCTCCTTAGTTCCACTATCAATCAGATTACAGACTCGCTCCTTGGCCTGGGGGGAGATCAGAGGGCCAAGATCAGCTCCAGGCTGGTCTCCTGTAAAAGAACACAACAGTGTTTAAAGTCTTCATTCACATGAATTACGACTGCCAACTAAAGATGAATCCAAATGACAAGTCCAGTGTAAAGTGGGGCAATGGTAAGAACAGGGATGTTGCTCTCATTGGCTAAGGCCAGTGCTAAAACCAAGAGTTTAGCGCCACAGATGCAGTCTAAAGCAGCTAGGCAGACAACGGATTACCTGCATTGACTCTGAGGTTTTTGGCACGATCCACCAGCTCTGGTAGCCACTTCTTAGCGTCGCCCACAAGGATCGCTGTTGAAAGAGCCATGCAGCGCTGACCAGCAGCTCCAAATGCTGCCCCAACCAGCTGGTTCAGGGTATTTTCCTTATTGGCATCTGGCATGACTACCCCATGGTTCTTGGCTCCCTAAGCAAATACAGAAAGTCCATGAATCTTCCTTGGCAAAATACAATTAGGCTGAGAAATCAGGCAAAAAATCTGAGATTTCAAAATGAGAATTGAAGGTAAGGACTAAGAGAATTTATCCTTTGTTACTTTGAGGGTAGATTTATTATTCTGATACTGCTAAAGTCTTGGTAACATTGAGCAAGTCTCCAGGTTACTTTTTTTTTCATTTTCTCAGCTGATAAGCTGATATGTGTTTATTGAGATCAAAACAAACAGACAAAAATGAGCCCCAGTCATCACATAACATTAAACTGGCAGGTTAAATACTGCATCCAGGAACCAAGGAAAACTCCCTTCTCTTTCCTACATTAGATAGGAAAGAATTTGTCTGCTAGGGTTTCCAGTTACATGAAGAGCAAGCAGTGTAAACAAGGAGCTGCCAGCAGCCAGGTGAAAGGCAAAATAGGAAACAGACCTCTCTGGAAAAAGTCTCCCCAGATTAGTTTATTTCTAGATACAGAGCTCATGAACTTCTATATTGGATAACATATGGTCATTTCCACACAGTTTGCAGATACAACTATAGTTGAGTGCATGGATAAATACCATGTCTGCTATTTAATTTCATCCCATTATACATAATATACTGTTAGATACAGAATTACTCAATAAATTAATAGTGAACTGGGAGGGAGTTAAGTCAAACTTTTGGCCAAAATACATTTAGCCACAAAAAGAAATAAGTGGGCATATCATGAAGTTTCCAAGCCTGTGCAAAGATGGCTATCCTTTATGCAACATTATCGGAAGGGTAAGAAAGTAGCAATTGGACTTATATTTAAGTATCAAAGAACTGCAAAGTATTTGACATGGAGCTAGTAAGAGAACAGCAAAACTACAACCAAGTAAACCACACATACAGGAATATTGGTCTCTTTCCAGTGCTTTAAATAGCCTGGGCTCTTAGGGAAGATTCTATTTTGACATTAGTAGTTAGGATACGCCTTAAAAGAAGGAAGGATAAAGGGCTAGAAAAACATGGTATGAAGGAAGAAACAGGGCCAGAACCAGAATTCAACTGTTAATTGCTAAAGCCCAAAGAATTTGAATAACATTCTCAGGGAGAAATGTGCCCTTTGGCACCAAGATTCATAGTATATGATAAAAGCTAATTAAAGTGACTAAGAATAAAACTCATCACGAGGTTCATCCTTAAAGGAAAGATAGATAGGATGAAATGGGGATAAAGAAACACTGGCATTAGAGTGGGGTGAGCAGCCGCTCTGCTGAAGGGCTGTTTCTGGGTAATTTTAATACTTAGAGTTTGAGGGGAAAAAAATGAATAAGAAGTCACCATATTGGCTTGAACTCTCTTGCCATGTCTTGACCCTCTCTCGAAGATGTACTCTCCTGCCTGGTTGGATCCCACAAAGCTGATTGCTTTGATATCCGGATGATCGCAAATAAAGTTTACAGCTTTAAGAAGAAAATAAATGATCACTGCAAAGGAACAAATGGCTTCTCAACATGGCAATTTTCCTTTTTCCCACTTCTAGAAAGGAGAAGTTTTCATACTTTTGTGTTTCTATCCTGGGTTCCCATTTTGAAGTTCTCTCTTTCCTTGTTCTCTTAATTCTTTAAGCTACAAATTCTATTTAGCCCCTCCCCTTTCATTATTTTTCTCATTTACTATTCTAGAATTTCTACTTCTAATCTAACTCTGATGGTTACAACTCCTATTTTCCTCCAAAGTATTGTAACAGCCCTTCAATACTCAACACTTCCTTTGTCCTTTAAAAATGTGATATTTCCTCAATTGTCACTACTACATACAGGGCCTCTCAGACACTATTATGCCTTCATGTGAGAGACAATAATATAGCATAGTTCAGTCATGCACCACTTAACGATGGGGACGCATTCTGAGAAATTCGTCATTGGGTGATTTTGTCGTTGTGCGAATATCCTACTATGCACTATGCAAACCTAGCTGATATAGTCTACTATACATCTAGGCTGTCTGGTATAATCTATTGTGCCTAGGCTACAAGCCTATACAGCATGTTTCTGAACAAAACACGAGATTAAATCAAACTCAAGAGAAAATGATGCAATGAGGAGACACGGTAAACATGAGATATATGAGGCTGCTCCCGGCATAACACAGCAAACTTATTTTTTAAGTAGAAAGGGTACGCTCTAAAATAACAATAAAAAGTATACTATCATAAATACATAAACCAGTTACATAGTCATTATCAATATCAAGTAGTGTGCACTATACATAATTGTAGGTGCTATACTTTTATACAACTGGTAGTGCAGGTTTGTTTACACCAGCATCACCACAAACGTGTGAGTAATATGCTATAACGTTACGATGGCACTGATGTCACGAGGTGATAGGAATTTTTCAGCTCCATTATAATCTTTTGGGACCACTGTCGTATATGCGGTCTGTCATTGACCAAAACGTCATTAAGCGGCACATGACTGTATTTAAAAGTAAAAACCAGGGTCAGCCTTCCTGGGTACACACATCCTGGTTTTGACAGTTTCTAACAGTGTGACTTCGAGCAAATTAGTTTCATTATGCCTCAATTTTCTTATCTGTAAAAAGGAAAAATAATAGTAGTACCTACCTCAACGGGTTGTTGTAAAGATTAAAAATAAGATAATATATGAAATGCACTAGGAACAGTGCCTGAAATACAGAGGCACTTTTTAAGCAGTAGCTATTATTATATGACTTAGAAGACTTTCAGTCTCTTTGAGGTCTATAAATTCTCAGTTAAATATCCTCTTACATTCTCTCAATATTGAAGTGAGAACTTTCTCTGTAATCTTATCTGTGTCTTGCCCTAACCCACATTTCTTTGTTCCAATGTATTCTGTAACGCAACAAACAAACACGGCTACTTCCCAGTTAGTTACCTAGCACACAGTGATGGCAAAACAGTCAACAAACATTACCTTCAAACATGGAAGTTACTATTAGAAAATCCTTCCTCCCTGGGTTCCTCATTCACCCCATCACCACTCAATACCTTGATTTTTCTGAAGCCAGATTAAGTGCCATGTACTGAAGGGCAGTTACCTTCGTGTTGTCCGTGGATGATGTTCAGTGTTCCATCAGGGGCACCAGAGTCCTGGAGCAACTTAGCAAGAAGCATTGTTGCTCCGGGGACGCGCTCTGATGGTTTCATTAGGAAGGTGTTTCCACATACCATGGCCATGGGAAACATCCAAAGGGGGATCATGGCAGGAAAATTGAATGGAGCAATGCCTGCACACACCCCCAGAGGCAGACGGTAGGAATAAAGGTCCATATCTTTGGTGATGGATGGCATGGTCTCTCCCAGCAGGAGGGATGTCACACTACAGGCATGCTCAACTACCTCTGCAACAGAGAAGAAGTCAGGCCACCAACTGCCCACACTGTGCACTACTTAGCTTTGTCCTGCTCAGGCCAGTGACAGAGGGAAGGAACATTAACTTGTCCCTCCATGAGAAGGGGTTGTGCAAAATGAGATTCTCTCATTGGGAAAAAGACAGCAAAGTGCACATCGCTACTGGAAGATCATTGGAGTAAAACAAAGAATGAAGTAAACCAATTTCATAGATCCCTGAGAAATATTGCCATTTTCCATAATATTAAAAAAGATATCAGGGGATAATAAAATCTACATAAAGGAAGAAGCAGTCCCCCATTCTGAGATGTTGCCTCCCTCCCATCTTCCTTTGCTCCTTCTCGAAGGTCCCTGAAACTTCCCATGAGGGACTCCCAGCTTACGAAGGCCTCGAAATACATCTCCTTCAGCGTCAGCTAGGGTCTTCCCTTGTTCCAATGTGATTATCCTGGCGATTTCTTTCTAGAGAGAAAACACACAAATAGAAAGCAATACAAGGCGGCGCCTCCTTTTAGTTTTCAGGCAACCAAGGAAGACCCAAAGTGGGGGAGAAGTAGTATAAGGGAGAGAGCTGTGATTTATGTCTCTCAGGAGTGTAGAGTGAGGGGGTGCAGCTCAAAGGGCCACTGTGGGTGTGACAAGTGTCCTCCAGGCAACAGTTTGGAAAATGATACCATTCAGATTTCTTACCAAGTTTTCTTTAATAAGTTGTTGATAGCGGAGTAGGACCTGCTGACGGCTTAATACTGAAGTGTCTGCCCATGTGGGGAAAGCACGTTTGCAGGAAGCAACAGCTGCATCCATTTCAGCCTTGGTGGCCTGAGGGACCCGACCAATGACCTCATTGGTGGCCTGATGGGAAAAAGCAGCACATCATCCTCTGCCCCTGCCCCACCTTCTCCATTTTTCATTTAGTCATAGAGGCAGCATTATGTGTTTCATGATAGACACGCTGGTCCCCACTTTCCCACCATGTTCCAAGAATTCTAGGATAGTCAGTCTAAGCAGCTTTGCTCACTGGGTTGTGGACGTCAATCCATTTGTCACTTTTGGATTCAACAAATTTCCCATCAATGAAGAGCTTTACAGTTGGCTGGGGGGAAAAAAAAGAAACAACCGCATTAGTGAATTGCTTTACTTATCTCCTTTCCTTTCACAAAAAGGAAGGTACTCAGGTTGATAACCATCTCTAGAAATGTTACCACTAGGAAAGAGATACACAATATACTGGTTTATAGTGCTTGTTAGGATGTGGCAGGGCCTCTTAATACTATGATCTCTTTGAAGGTGGGAAATTCCCAGCCAATCACACAGTGGAACTTCATGTGAAGTGGAGTTCACCTTGGAAGTAAACACATCACTGTAAAGTTAGTACTAAAACAGCAGCAGACTCCGTGTTAACAAAAATTAGCCCTTATGACTTGTTGGCCTAGCTGACTTTCTGCCACATTACCATGATAATGTCTTACCTTTATGACGAAAAGTTTTTTTTAATGTTCCTATCTGTGTGTATTTTTTTTCTGAGTAGTTTACTTTCATTAAATTTTCAAAGGACTCTGTGGATCAAAACAGATGTGTCACAGTGTGTGCATGCTTCTATATAGAAAGGATTTTTAGCACCAGTGCTTATTAAATTTTAGGTACTGTAAATGGCTGACAGACAGTAGGTCTGTAAAAACAACTCTAAAGGTTGTCAAGAAGAACCAATTATCTGGCAGGGTCAACTAAACTTCTGAAAGCCATGAAAGTATTTGTATCTTTTAACACAGTAATCGTATTTCAGACGAGAGATAATCTAAAAGAAGGAAAAAACTACAAATAAATGTTTGTTTTATAATACTGAAAAATGAAAGCAATCTAAATGTTGTATGGGGAAATTATTAGCTAACTCAGTTCATATCTACTTGATGGAATACTATGCAGCCATTAAAGTCACAATCATGTATAAAGACCATCTTGTAACGCTGCAAATACTTAAAATGTAATAGATATAATATTAAATAAGAAAACAAAGGTAGAAAGTTTCACCTATATTCTGATCACAATTTCATAAAGAAGATAAATGGTAATATCCAAAAATTATACTGAATTCCTTCTCAGAAGTTAATCTTTAGTGGCAAATAAACTCACCACTGAAGAAGAAGAGAAAAAGGATGCTGGATACCAAGTGGAGTTCACCTTGGAAGAAACCTGTGAAGTAAAAGAAAGATTATTTTGATAAATGAGAGCAGAAAATTATTAAAAGCTTAGTGAATGGCTACTATAGGATTAACATTATACTAGTTACTGAGGGTGTATGAAAAAGGACTTGGTGTTTGCTCTCGAGGGCCATATGGTCTTTAAAGAGAAAAGACATGAGACTATGAGATACAGCAAACTGAGAAAACAATAAACCATCATGATCATGTCCTCAATTTCTAGGACAGTTCTGATTAAAAATACATATATTTTTTGTCATTAGTCTATTTTCCTAATTTTTGGCCTGGAAAATGTCATCACCATAAATCTAACAATATGAAAACACTTAGCACGGTATCTAACACAATAGGTGTTGAATACAAGGTAGTGTATAACCAAGTATCAAATGTAAGTATAATATGCCCATACAAATACTTGAACATAAATGTTCCTAAGAGCTTTATTTGTAATAGCTCAAAACTTAGAAACAATCCAAGTGTCCACCACTGGATGGGTGAATAGGGAAACTAATGTGCTATATCCATTCATTGGAATACTACTCAGCGATAAAAAAGAATGAACTATTGATAGATGCAACAATATGGATAATTATAATAAATGTATTGAGTAAAAGAAGTCAGACATAAAAAGAGTCTATACTGTATGATTCCATTTATATAAAACTAGAAAATTCATACTAATCTGTAGTATCAGAAAGCAGGTCAGTGGTTGCCTAAAGATGATGGGGGAGGCAGAGAAGAGAGGGTAAGAGGGAAACTTTTTGGGGTAGGTATATATTCATTAGCTTGATTGTGATGATGTTTTCACAGGTGTATACAAATATTATCACTTATCAAGTTGTACACTTTAAATATATACAGTTTATGCCAATTGTATTTCAATAAAGCTATTTTTTAAAAATGCCACATGTACCTGATAGGAAAAAATGTGTTGTGTAGGTAATATTTAATAGGGTATAATCAGAAAATTGGGAGGGGGGGATCAGTTACCATAAAATAACTCTCTAAAAATATAATTTGTATATATGCTATGAAAGTTGATTTAAGAAATATTCAAGTCTAATCAAAGTGAGCAATCTGAAATACTTGGAACTGGAATATAAAAGTTGCAATCTAATAATAATCTATTGTCTTGTCTGAAGAGAGACTATGTTAATCAAAAGGTTTAGAGCTGCATGAAGTGCAATTTGTGCGCCTTCAGCACTGTTCAGAGGAAAGGATGCTGGTCTTTTGGACCAGCAGACAATCCTTCCAAATGCCTAGTCTGCTTCCTCCTCCATTCCCCACAAAAAATTCCCCTGGAGCCCACCGTGTCTTATTTGTAGCCATGTTCTCAATACCAACCTGGTACATAGTGAGTGTTCAATAAATACCTACTGAACAAAAGAAAAGGTCCCCTGGGCAGCTATATTGCCTGACTGCCCCCACCCCAGACTAGGTTAGGTGTCCCTTTTTTTGTACTCCCACAGCCGCCAGTATTTCCCCTATCAGGTTTATTTGTCTCTGTTGTAACTGCTTAGGTACTTGTCTGTTACCTGAAAGACTAAGCTCCTTGAGGGTAGGCACTGTATCCATCTTGTTCACCTACTTTAAAGAGTTATTACAATCAAGAATCAAGGCTGTACGGATATGGAAAATAGCTAGCGAGTAGCTGATGCTTGTGAGATGTTATTATTACTATATTGTTAGAAATACTTGCTTTACTCCTTGCTATTTCAAAACTTATCAATTCTCTTAGAACTTCCAACTCTGCTACTTCCCCCGACCCCCTTACTCTTAGGATCTGACCTTATTTTTCCTATTACAGAGGAAATAGAAACAATCAGATGAAAACTTCCTCAACTTCCTACTAGCAAACCTACAAAACTGACCTGCAACTATACCCATCCTTTTGCCTTCCTCCCTCTTAAAATGGAGAAGGTAGCTAGCAAGCTCTGTGAGGACAAAGTGACTGGGAGACAGAGGTGCACAATCAGTATCTGTGGACCGGCTGAAGAGGTGTCTGGCCTCCAGTCTCAGGCTAATCTCTGCACCTGGGCTCTGAAGCCGACGTTTCCTTCTCCCTCTGACATTTCTATCAATTATCCTTTCTTTTCTGTACCTTAAACCTGTCTCCATCCAATAGCAAGGGTTCTTTACACTAATTACCTTTATTTCCTCATCTCCCACTAACCCTTCAATCCCAACCTTCATGACTGAACACCAGTGACTTTCTACGTTCCATGGACTCCTTGTAGTACTTGACCTCTCAGCAGAGGCGACGTGGTGTGGAGGAGACACTGTTCCATGATGTGACTGCTGCCTGGCCAGAACAGAGATTGTTTCCCAAAAAATCCCCTTGGGGACTGACTGACCCCTCTCCTCTGCCCCAGGCATGCTGGTTCTTGGAACAGACTATTGCCCTGCCCCAGGCAAACATGCAGGGCATTTCCCCCTCATCTGGGCCAGCTTTCACCCCAGTACCCCCATCCATCCTGCCCTGTCCTATATAACCCCTTAGTGCCTGCCACATGGCACAGAAGCTATCCATGCCGTCTTTTTGTCACCCAAGATGAGCCTCGTATGTAAGTTCCCTTAAAAAACTCTTTATGTAATGATAGAATTGTCAGCCTCTTTCGTTGGTCTCTCAGCCCTTGGAAATTTTATGTAACACATGGTTAATCATGCCCTCCTTCCTGAACCCCCTTTTCACTTGTCTTCTGTGACACCTGGTGTCTCTTCTATCTCTTGGGCCACTTCTCTGCCTTCTATGCTGATTCATTCTCTTCTACCTGGTCACTTCGAGCTAGGTCCTCAAGGCTTGGTCCTAGGCCTTCTTTTCTTCTCGTTCTGCCTACTCTCCTTGAGTGATCTCATCAACTCTGTAGTTTAATTACCTAGATCCTGATGATGCCCAACTCTATAGTCCTTAGCCAGTACCTCCCTCTCCAGGTAATACCCACATAACTGTCTTTGCTATATCTCTACTTGGGTATTATTTAGGTAAATGTTGAAAAAGCTGGATTCCTCCTCTTTCTCCCACCAATCCACTGTGCCTCCTATAGCTCACCTTTCAGTGAACGGGACTACTATTCACCTAGTTGCCCAACCAGAAACCTGAATGTCACCCCAATTCCTCCCTTTCTCTTTACAGCAAATCAAACAAGCCCTGGCAATCTGTTCTTCCAGAAGTGTTTGAATACACCCCTTTTTCTCTGCCCGTCCTGCTATCACCCCAGTCTATACCATCATTGTCTCTCACCTGGATTTCAATCTTCAACCTTCTGAATCTAATTTCTATCCCATCACCAGAGGGTCTTTCTAAAACACAAATCTGGTCAGATCACCCCCTTGTTTAAAACCCTCCAATGGCTTGCCACTGCCCTAGGGATAAGACAAATTTTTTTATTGCTCAGAAGACTCTACATAGTAGTATCTTTACTTCTCTAGTTTCACAGGTTGCCACTTTCTTCCTGATCTATGACCCAGCCATTCGGATCATGTTTTGTGCTCTCTTTGCCCTTGCATGTGCTGCTCCCTCTTTCCTGAAATTGTTTCATCCCATGTGCTTGGCTTACCCCTACTCCTTTGCTCCCTACTTAGCCATCACTTTGGGTACAGGTGCAGGTTAGATTTGCAGGTTTGCTAGTAGGGAGTTCAGGAGGTTCTCACTTGATCATTGCTGTTTCCTCTGAAGTAGGAGAAACAAGGTTAACTTCTAAGAGTGAGAGAAGTAACAGACTTGGAAGTTTTTAAGTCTCAATCTCAAGTCCAGGCTAAGTACCTGATGGTGCAATTCATAAAACACCTGAGTTCTTTTATTCCTCATACCACCTTATAGAATAGTAGCTTGTTTAAATAACTCTCTCTCCCCTTTATACTAACAAGTGATCCCCTTAGATCACTAGATAACTGTGTCCTCAGCCCCTCGCACCATTTTTGGAATAGAGTAAGCATTTAGTAATATTTTGTGGAATGAAAGAATGAGTACTCACCAAGCAATCGTTTGATATTAATTTTGTTTCATGTATACTCTTTTATAGGGCAGAGAATGCATGGATAGCCATCTAGAGCATTCTAGGCCATTTAATTTTATTTTCACTTGCACACAGCCTCCCTGCTGTCAAGAGGGCATAAAAGGCATTGCATTTGGTATAATAAAACATTATTACATAGTTTTTGACAGGTGAGATTGCCTATCTTTTCTTTATTTCCCAAGACACAATCATTAGCACCGTTGCTGAAGAAACTATCCTATGGCCAGTCACATCAAACATCTTGTTTTCTACATGCTTATTTTGTACTTGCTATTTCTTTAACCAGGAACTCCCTTCTCCCTTTGGCTAAAGGCCTGCTGGTCTTGCAAGAATCAAGCTCAGACAGAGCCAACTCATCTTGGAAGCTTTTCCTGAATTGCACAGGTTGAGTTTGTTTCTGAAGTACCCTGTGTGCATTCTTATTGTTTAGCACTTATCAGTGCATTACAACAGGGGGGCTTTAGGTGAGTATTATATTTACCTTTCCTTTCCCAAAGCCTGGGGAGAGTACCTGATACAGAAAGATATGCCAAGACTTCAGTTCTGAATTCAGTTACTAGTTGAGAGATCTTGGATGACCTTAGCCTTAAGTGTTAGGTAGCTTACTTCATTACACTCGTTTACTCTAATCTTTACAAATATTCTAAAAACTAAAAAGTGGTGGAGCTGAGATAGAATCCAAGTATGATGGAAGCCTGTGCTCTTTCCAACACATCACTGAGGCAAGTCACTGAGACGCCCTAAGACTGGTTTTCTGAATGGGAGTGATAACACAAGGAGCAGAAGTTGTAAATTTTACTGGCCACCAAAACAGAGAAGACCCGCTAAGTATGTACTTTAAATAACTGAAAACATGAACTCTCTCCTTTACACACCCTTTTGATAGTCCTCTAAAACTCATACCTGCCAGAATCTAGACTACTCTTTATCAAAGTTTCATGTTACAGTAACTATTAGTTGGCTAAGGATTACTATTTCTGTTCTCTTCCAGTTCAACTTAGAAGTTTCTTCAAATGAATCAGAAAATAGTGTCTGCTTCCAAAATAAAGTACATGGGAAGGCAGATTCTTCTCCTTGATGCAAAAGATAAAATACCTTTTTAAGGCTCTCAATGACTCATTGTGATTGAGTTGAGGGGAAGTAGGCAAAAGTCAATGTCGGTCAAAGATTTCATAGAGAAGTTAGTAATGGAAAATACTATGAGGTGGAAACTGATTCCCCACTATTTAAAAAAAGATACTAGAAAACAAAATAGGATCACAGCAAGAAACATATGAGGGACATCAGACCATCTGACAAACCCTTCCAACCCATTAACCACACTATCCTATTAAACAGCATATTTAAACATTAACCTTTGTTGATTCTGCTAAGAATCTTAAACATGTATAAGTTGATGCAGAACTCACTGAAACTTGATAAATACTAATATCATCTAAAAGTCCAGCAATATAGAGGAAGAAGTTCCCAGGCTGGATTAATGAGTAAGAAGGGCAATGTTTCCTGCAGGTTGAAGAACGTTGCCTGCAGTAAATCTTGCCTCATGTGCTCAGTCCTTGCTAGGCTGTGAACAAGGGAAAGGCCATGAACAGAGATAGAGCTCACAGGCCTCAGGCATGAGCTCATGTAGCTCTACCACCTCTTCTAAGGCTGGCTTCATTGAGGACCCAACCCCCACCCCACCTTGGGCACTGTTGAGGTGTGTGTTTTAGAGATGTTTTTGTCCCCGGCATGTGCTTCCAACAAACTAGTAGCATAAATATGTGTCCTTATTTACCGCTAACATGAACACTGTAACTTAGTTGAGAGAAAGTTTAACTGAAAGTCCTGGCAAGCAAGGAGAACAGCCCAAGGCCTGTGGAAAAAACAAACAGCCATAGCTGAGGAAACGGGTTTCTTTGGGGGGAGGGAGAAGGAGATTCAAAGTTCATGCACTGACCGTCGCCCCTCGTGTGCCTCCTCCCCACCCCTTACCTCGGATTATAGACAGTGAAGTAGGGTGGGGGAAGGGAACAATCTGGACGCACAGGGCAGGTGCAAGAGCTCTAAAAAAGGCGTCCAGAGGGGAGTTTCTGGGGGAGATAGGTGGCAGGTGCAGAGGAGGTAGGTGACAGGTGCAGAGGTGAAAGAACGTGTGCGGCAGAGAGGTGAGGGCAATAGAATGTGACAGCAATAACAGGGCAGGGCTGGAGAAGAGTGGGCCAGAGCCAGATAAGGGGAGACTCAAGAGTAAAAGGTTGGGGGTCAGGGGCTGACAGTCCTGGGCTGGATCCAACGAGAGCGGGTACGGAGTGAGGACAGTGAGACAAGGGCCGCACAGGTCAGGTGGGAACAGTAGGGTCGGCTAAGAAGTGGTTCGCTCAGAGAGTGGACCGCAAGGACCCAGTTCCTAGCTTCGCGACCCCTCAGCGCCACCCCCACTCGCCTGCAGGATCCGAGCCCTCACGGCCGCCGCCGCCACTACCGCCGCCATGGTTCTCAGATGCCTCTTTTCCGCCTTCGGGTGCCTCTATTGCCCGTGACTCTCCAGACCTCGCCCCTCCATCCTGCTGCACCTCCTCATTGGTGGAGAGGACCAGCCAATCACTCGCCCTAATTCTGACTCTGCGCCCAGTTTGGAGGACATGCGATTGGTCAGAAGTGAAAGATCTCGGCCCTCTCTTACCTCAGCAAATTCTGTTGGCGGAGGTAGGGAAGACGCCCCTGACTTGGGCACTCTATATTCAGCGCACAGGGAAGACGCCCCCTAACCGGGAATCCCGATTGGCCACCGGGATGACTGCTGCCCCACCCCGTCACGCCTCAGCCAGTGCGCGAGGGGGTGTGGCCAGCGCTGGGGGCGGGGCTAAGCAAAGATTGCCCTATGGGCGGGGAAATGAGACGGACTGCGAATTGGGGATTGGGTTTCTCTTTGGGGGCGTGGCTTATGGGTCCTAGCTTTCCCGCCGACTGTTGGCCACGTCATGTGACATGGGTTGGAAGATGGCGTCTCCCACAGACGGTAAGAGCCGGTTCAGAGATCCTTCATCAGCAACCTCCTTTGCTCCGCTCTCTGTCTGCCTTTCGAACTTACACTTTTTTCTTTGGCTCCTCTCCTTTCTCTTCCACTTCTTTTCCTTGGGATGCTGGTGCGTCTTCAGCTTGCCGATTTTTCACAGCGTTCCGGAGGTGCCCTTTCTCCCTGCTGTGTACCAGGAGGGTGGAGGAGGTTACCCGCGACGGTCCCATCCCCTGACCTGCCCTTCCCTTAGCCCCATTTGGGTGAAGCTGGGGCGGAGGACGAGATACTGCTAGAGGGAAAGAAGTGCCTTACTGTATGTAGCCTTCTTCTTCTGGGGCGCCCCATTGAAAGGTCGGTCGGTTCTCTTACTTTTGATCATCTGGAGCAATTCTCTCAAACCCTATCTGGGATTAGTGGCCGACCTCATCCCGAGACTGAAGAGCAAGGAAAACATGATTCTCTCCTATCTCCCCAGATTGATACCGTTGCAAGAGAAGCGGGGGACTTTCTTGGCCACGCGCCCAGAGTCCTGAGAGTCCCAAGGAAAATGAGGGTTGAGTTTTTTATTGTAATCTCTCAACCTGTCTTGCTTCCGCTGTATGTGTTGTTTCCTCAAGCTGAATGAATGAACGATTTCTGCTTATATACTATTGTCTAAGATGCAAGTCATCTCAGATAGCAACTGAGTGGTTTTGGTATACTCATGCTTTTGCTCTGGGTACCCCTTTAGAGAGTTAGGGTCTTGCAGTCATTTCTGAACTCAACTTTTGCTTCTACTGCCCCCATCTCCACATCCATTTCATTGATATGTGAGTTTTTTCCTCCTCAAACCAACACATTTTCTGTTTGAAAGAAATCTTGAAAGTTCATTTCAGGAATGAGGAAATTGAGGCCAAGAAAGCTAGGTATGTTGGCTGCTATATGAAAGGCATAACGCTGGGTGCTTTGGGAGAGGAAAAGATTAATCAAACATGTGAACACTTGCAGTTTCAGGTCTCATTTTTGATGTTGCCTCCCTGAGAGCCTTTCCCAGAACACAGTATCTGGTTTGCACCTCCTCACCATTGTTTACTATCTCAGTACCTTCATTGTCAGCACAGTTATTCTGTTAACTTTGCCCTTTCACATTAGATTATAAATTCCAAGTCTGCTTTGTTTATAGTTGGATCCCAGGGCTTAGCATAGTGCCTGGAAAGCAGTAGACCTTCAATGAACTTTTATTGAAAGAATGATTAGATATGTACATAAATCATATATTACTTTGTCTTAAGTTTCAAGTTTAACTGAGTTAAGTTTTTTGAATGTAGGTACAGACCATATAAGAAATTATGGGTGTTCAGATTCAAGAGAGATTTTTTTCTCCTGCCTGGGTACCCTCTTGTTAAAATGTCCTTTTCTTGCCAGAAATAAAGGCGGGGGGAGGCATTTAAAAAGTGAGCCAAAGTAATAGGGAGTTGTTGTTTAATGGGTAGAGTTTCATTTTGGGAAGGTAAAAAAGTTCTGGAGATGGATGGTGATGATGGTTATACAACATTGTGAATGTACTTAATGTCACTGAACTGTACACTTAAAAATGGTGAAAATGGTAAATTCTATATTATGTATTGTTTACCACAATTTTTTTAAAAGTCAGCCAAGTGATATAAGTTGAAGTAATTGCTACAAAATTTTTAGTTTATTATGAAATTATTTTTAGATTTATAAGTTTTGGAAATTTTTTTTTTTAAGATTTTTTTAAATGGAGAATTGGGGGAGGGAATAGCGTTGGGGAATTGGGGAAGGGGAACAGACGAGTTGTTGTCCTTTTGTTCTTTAGTCTAGTTGTGGAGGACGTCGCTTCACTGGCCTGTGTTGGTATTGTGATCTGATCATTGCGCTCTTCTTGTCTGAGGCAGATCTGTCGCTGTCCATTGGATGGCCACTCATAGCGGCTCACAGTAGCTCATGATGGCTGCCGGTTGCTCACGTTGGCTGCCGGTCCCTCACGGTAGCTTAGGGCAGCCCACTGCAGCCTACGCTGTCGCCGGTGACTCACGGCAGCCCAGCTCCAGGTCGAGCTGTTGTTCACCATCTTAGCTGTAGAGGGTGCAGCGTCACTGGCCCATGTGGGATTTGAACTGGTGGCGCTGCTGCTCAGAGCTCGCGCTCCCAAGCCAACTCTTAACCAACAAGCCACTCAGCTGGTCCCAGTTTTGGAGATTTTAGAGCTGTGTTTCTTGTGTTTTATTTATCCTTGTCTTCTCTTAATTTCTTTTTCTTTCTTTGGCCAGGAAGAATATTAGAAACATATTTTTTCCTTTGATCTAGCCATCTCCATGTTTACTCTATTTGCACTGTTGATTTTTACAAGTTTTCAGTCTCATCTTTTACAGAGTTTCACCCTTTTCCACATAATCTTTTTTTTAAATTTGACAAAATCAAGTTGAGCACTTTGAATTTATATGTTGGGTTTTTTTGTTTGTTTTTTTGTTTAGCTGAACCATCCTGCTATATGTTGGCAGCTCAGCGGCAGCTCAGCTCTGGTCAGGACTCGAACCCCTATTGCTCAGAGCTCACACTCTTGAGGGAGCTCTTAACCAACTGAGGCACTGGGCTGGCCCAAGCACTTTGAATTTAAATTCAGCTTCTAAATAAGTATCTCATCTCAAAACATTCTTCTGCCTAGCTCTCTCACTTCTATTTTTAGTGTTCTACCTATCTCTGTCTTTAAAATTAAATTCAAATAATGGTTTCAAAAAGTTTAGGTAATTTACTCATTTATCTTTTTAATGCTAAGTTTGCTGGGACTTCTTTGAAAAGGAGAAAACTGAAATCAAGTAAAACCATCTAATTACTGAATTTATGAGAGTAAGTCTCAAAGCAGAGTCTGAGTTATGCCTCAGACTATGGTACTATAAGGCCACCCTTGTTGATTATTGGATCCTAGCCCCAGTAAGTATATTTTTGTTATGGTTGAGCTTCTCATTGGTAATATTCTTTGGGAATTTGAAAATTGACGGTTTGTATTACACACAGCTTTTCTTTGTTACCAGTTTTGGATGTTTTAGTTAAGGCAATTTATTAAAATTGAATTCTTTACCAATCAGAATGCCATTGGAAATTCTCTTAGAATATTTGGGGGGAAAATTCAGTTTATAGAAAAGCGTATGTTGAAAAAATTAATACATATGCACATTTTCAACGAGTGGGTCCATAGCTTTTTTTTTTTCCCCAGATTTCAAAACATGTGGCTTACCCAGAAAATGTTAAGAGCCACTGTTTATATAATTAAATGAACTAGTTTATGTAACTAGTTACATATTCAGCATACAGTATGTACTCAATAAGTATTAACTGTTGTTAATATCCAGTACCTCCTGTGTGCCCAGACAAGAGTAGAGAGAAAATGGTATCAAAGAATTAGACAGGATCATGTTGGATTTTACAGGGCATGGTAGGTATACATTCACAAATTTAGCTGTGAAGAAATCCTTTAAGCTGGAGAGTGACATGAACTGATTGACATTTTTTAAAAAATCAGTTCTGGCTACTTTGTGGAGAATAGATTTGGGGGTAGGGAGGGGAAGGGGCAAGAATGGGAAAAGGGAGACCTGTTAAGAGGTTATTGAAGTAGTCCAGGAGAGAAGTGATGTTTTCTTGGTTACTTAATTTGTTTTCAGGGTGTATTTTGGAGATAGAAACTAGTAGATTTACTAATGGTTGGTTATAGAAGAGTGAAGGACAGATGCATGAAGACATCTGGGTTTTTGAGAACTGGGGTTCATGGTAGTGCTGTATCTTGAGATGGAGAGAACTGAGAGAATATGGTTTTGAACATATTAGACTTAAGGGATTTTTCATACATGTAAATGTAGAGAGATGTCAAGTAGCCACTTAGATATGGAACTCTGAAGTTTGGGGAAACTTTGGGACTGGAAATATAAATATGGAGTGATTGGCATACAAATGTTGATAAAGGCTGTGGGACTAGATGAGATCTCCTTAGAAGACTTTAGGTAGGGAGTGAAGCCAGCCTTAGGATGGGCCTGAGCAGAAGATGAGACTGAGGAAGGAGTCAGTGAGGAAGGAGAAAAGCCAGCATAATGGTATTATAGAAGTGTTTCAAGGAGAGTGGTCAGTGTGTGAATGCTGCAACAGGTCACATAAAAGAGAACAGAGAAGTTATCACGAGTTTTAGCAGCATTGGTCATAGATGACCTTGACAACAGCAGTTTCCATATATATATGAGTAGAATCCTGATTGTCATGGGTTAAGGAGAGAAGGTGAGGTGAGGACGTGGAGACAGCAGCAGGATAGACAACTTAAGAACTTTTGCTGTAAAGAGTGAGGAGGTAATGGGGTCAAGGAAGAGTTTTATCAAAGAAGGGAAATGCTAGAGTAAGCTTGCTTGTTGTTGAGTGTGAGCCGGTAGAGAAGGTAGAAACTGACTGTGCAAGAGAGAGATTACTCATGATGTCTTTGACAAAGCAAGAGAAGATGCAATTCAGAACCCTAGCAGAGGAGTTTTTTTTCTTGAAAGCAGAGATGCTTAA